AAGTTTTAAATAAACAGAGAACATGCGTCCATCCTGGCAAGAGTAGTGGTCACAATCTCAACCTAGCTAATGTATTTGGGGGGATGTATAAACTTCATAAACTGGTTTCCACAAAGAACCCATTTGAGGCACATGCTTCTGAAATGTTATGACCATGTTAAGAGTATAAAACCCCCACAATTGTTCACTTTTTAGACATGTTACTTTTGTGATTAGTAATTAATTGGTTATTATTTCTTAGTTCACAAGTAGTTCTCAATGAGGATATATTTCTTTAGTAACAATCAAATACCTACCAAGGAATTACCTTTGTACTAAATTACCTATTACTTAATGATTAGTTAATATTGCTTCCATATTAGTTAATAGTATTAACTTCGGTGTTAATGCAGTACTACCTATTACTTCCTGCATAGCTACTTGTTAACTACTGACCATTATTTTAAAGTGTTACCGATTTGCATTCTCTCACTGTACATCATTACTGTACTGTACATACCATACAACATTAAAATTGAAAAACTACAAGCTGAACAACTGAAGAAAACAGGCTTGATAGTTATAAGCGACATAAAAAAACAACAACAAAAATAAGGGGAACAAAAAACCTATTCAAAAAAACACAAAAAGCCAGCCCCTAAAAGGTGCAATTTAATACCTCAGAGAAGTAAAATGAAACCTTAATGAACTTCAGTGGGTAAATATGTTACAAACATTCCCTTTGATGGTATTGGCCTCCGGTGACAAGCTGTTGATAAGCTACAAGTTTTGCACCTTTTTTGAGTGTGTGAGAGAAATTTCACAGATGATTGACAGTGCTTTTTGTGTTCTACAGACGAAAGAATGTCATGCAGTTAGTTAGTGATGACAATGTTTGATTTTGTGTGAACTGTCCCTACATCTTACCTCTTGTCTTGCAAGTAAATCATGTGATGTCTACTGTTTTATTTCATTTTCCTTCTGTTAAACTGTCCTAGACCCTCTGGGCGCATATATTGTGACGGCAGCGATATGCTGCCTATTCTAGTGTGACACAAAGACTGAGTGCAAATGTGATCTGTATGTTTGTCTAGCACATTAATGTCTTTATACTGTTACAAATCAGTGGTTAATCTAGCCTTTCACTACAATGATTTATGCTATAGCTACGTCTATGAATACATATCTTGCTCTTTTAAAGAAAATCATGTAATTTATCTTTTTACATGATTTTACCCCAATTGTGGGGTTTAAATGACGCTATGACTTCCGGGTCAATAGAAAATGACCCGGAGTTTGAGTTATTAATTTGTAGCTGGTAAATGTGACTTGTTGCTTGCCAATTGTTAGCTGAAACTGTAGAAATAATATTCTGTAATTTTCTAGTTTTATAGAGGTTGTATTTCAGCTGGGGTTTTTATGTCTTTCTCACCTGAGCCACCCCTGTATCATAATCGTGTTGGTATGATCCAATTCCAGGAGTGACCTCAGGCCTATAAAGTCTAGTATTTTCATTCTGTCAGGGGCAACCCGGTCTCATCCCAAGACGTCATATAACTGACGTTTTGGGACGTCTTTTGACCATACGTCAATATTCGCCTTTTTAGGGCCCCCTTAAACGTCGGTAGATGAGGTTATGGGATCCTAACTCTATACCCCAGACCTAAACCTAACCCTAAACCTAACCCGTCACCTAACTGACGTTAAAGGTAAAGCGTCAGTTGTATGACGGCCCGGGAATCGCCATCTACTGACGTTTAAGGGGGCCCTAAAAAGGCGGATATTGATGTATGGTCAAAAGACGTCCCAAGACGTCAGTTATATGACGTCTTGGGATGAGACTGTGTTATCAGGGGAGCTTGGGGTGAAAGGACATAAGTCTGTCCTTGCTCTAATATACAGACTTGTGTTAAGGTCATTTTCCAAACTGTTGTAAAAGTTTGCTGTTATTATTATTTTGACTCTCATGTCAATTTATTTTGTTTATTCTAAAGTGTTTTTTTTTGGTACATTTTTTGTCCTTCCATTGGCCTTAATTGTGGATAATAAAAATCCCATCTCTGCAAACACATCCAACTTCTCCTGAGTGCTGAGTGCTTATCTGCTTAAGATGATTCAGTCATGTCTACCCTTAAGGTATTGTAGGTAGGAATTTTATAAAAACTTTTTTCCAAAATTGTTTAAACTTTCTACATATATCAATGCATAATTAAAATGTAAGTATACTCTGATAAAAAAATTATAAAAATCGAGTGACTCTAGACCGTTTAATCTGCACTAAACACAGCTGGGATCTCACAGCTAAATCTCAAACCGGGACAAAACAAAGGATTGGCTTAGGCAACTGTCACTCTCTCGCAACCATGGCAAACACCCCTTTGCCACACAGGACCTGCCCACTTGCGCGTATCCAGGTCATACCTGTTCACATGCCCTTGTTTGAGCTTGAAGATGAAAAACTTGACGCAGGTCCTCTTGTCCAAGAAGTGCTCCTTGCCCTGCACTTCGACTACCCCGTCCTCGGCCTCTACTTCCTCAGACCCTAGTTGCACGACCTATTGCTCGACCTCCTCTGCTTCATCATGACTTTTGCGTAAACATACACGCCACTTTCAAGTCAAGTGGCATGTTATATATACGCATTTTGAGCTATCCATGTGTATGCATGTATGTCTACGCCGTAAAATGTCTGAGTGATTCCGCGTGTATGTCTACACCGTTAAATGTCTGAGCGAAACGAAGCAAAATCTAGATCTACATCTAGGATGGTAGAGGAAGACTCTGTGGAGTGTAGTCCTCATTAGAGTCAACAATGCCTTCATCATGGAAACTCTTACATGCCGAACAACATATATGTTATGAATCTTACACGAAATTCATCTTCATCACAGTGTAAATGATGGATGGCAATGGAAAAACGTGTATCATGCAACCTGTTTTTAGCTTTGTCTTATAACTCGTTACTTCAACTCGCAATTCAATAAATATATATTTTAAACTTTACCAATAGCTTGATTGTGAGTACTAAAATACATCTTATTTGTTTATCTTCATAATGATAAAGTTGCGCTTTCATGTGTTTTGGGGGCGTGGCTTCGGAAGGAGCCCAGAATGGAGGGGTGGAGTGAATGGAAATGGAGCTGTCTTTAAAACAGTCGTGAAAGGTCTACAGACACTCGATTTTTATACTTTCTTTTTCAGAGTAGATTTTAATTATGCATTGATATATACAGAAAGTTTAAATTTGGAAAAAAAGTTTTTTTTTTATAAAATTCCAACTTTTTTATAACCCTCTGATAAGTTAAAAGGGCACTGAAAAGTTTCATTTACCTGCTGATCAAAGAATGATCTGAAAATGACAGTTTTTCCAGGAAATATAAAGACAAATTGACAGTTTTTGTAATATTTTGGGGTACAAATACATTGAATGTTTCACTCTCTCTTCAGAAGAAAAGGATAATATTTGATTAATGGAGGATTAATATGTGAACGGACGATACAGGTGACTGTTGGACCTCACTGCATAAATATAGGAGATCATTTTACATCAAAGAGTTTTTCTTTCTACTTTGATATATTTATAAATATATGTTACACCAGAATGTACAGTTGAATTGGTAATGTTAAGTTCACAAACTTAAAACTCACTCAAATTACAAGTATACTTCTTGCAGTATAAAACTACTAACTAAACTTTACTGAGAGTACACTACAAAGTGAACTTTCATAAACTAAAAAAATGTGCTACAATTTGACTTGAAAACTATCAGTAGGCTATAGGCTTTAAGTTCATGTAGTTTCAGTACAAATGATAAACGTAGTTCTAGTTCTGTATACTCAAAATTTACTGTTACACTTAAAGAATGCTTAAAAGTATAATTTAAAATATGAAAAGGTGGGCAAAAAATTAGTCTCAAGTAGTACTGAAAGAGTACACTTACTAGTAAACTACTAGTAAATTGATGTTAGAATAGGCCTTACTACATAAATTATACTGAAAAATATACTTGAACTTTACTTTGGTTGGTATACATAATAAAATGAACTTTAAGGATACTTATTTATTTATTTATTTGGAAGGGGTGTCCAACACATTGATTGCGAGAACTGATTGTTTGCTTATCATAATCTACCCAGACCTTAAAATGTGGCCTTGAGATGATCAGCGATATTCCATATTCCGATATTCCTGGTCATAATGTTTTGGCTCATCAGTGTACAGCTCGATGCTTTTCTTTTCCAGGATTGTGCATTGATATTTATATATTGTATTAATAATGCAAAGTTTTGAAAGTGCTTTTACCTTTAGCACCTTGAAATGATCTACAAGAATGTAACTTTTCTACAAGAATATATGTATTTCTTTGTTCGTATTCGTAATAAGTTTTAAAAAATATTCTAAAGCGTACTTCATTTGCACAAGGGTGGTGTTAATTTACACAATTATTTTAGTGAAGTGCTCTTGAATTTAATCAGTTTGATTGTTTTTTTGTTTGTTTTTTTGTTTGCATGTGGATAAAAAGACAGTTCATGATTTCAAAAATCACCAATAGTGTTGTACATTCCTGAACTTGTTTTAATCATTTAAAGTATCATTTAAAGTCTCTTTGAGTGAAACGCAAATTGAAACTATTTTCGACCTGCATGTGGATTCCTAAAAATGTAGCATGTTACCTGTAACCTGACTGTCAAGATTTGGGAAAAAAAAAAAAAATTATATTAACACCTTGCTCTTGAAACCAAAAACATAACTTAAAAAACAAGTTTGACCTGTATGAACAACACTGGACCCTTTTCAATAATGGAATGCAGAACAAAGTAAAAGTGACACGTGGATGAGAAAATGTGAGAATGTGCATTTGAAGATTAACTGTACATTTTTAATAAAGAGGAAGGCTAATTTCCTTATTAGAACATCCATATGGTAATTAGTTGCCAAGAAAATATACATCTACTGGTTTTATTATTTTTGTTTAAACTTTTTGTTAAACTTTCATTTTCTCAAGACCCTCCCATTTTGTTAAGCTATATAAAATAAGTGTGGGAACAGGCTTGTCACTTCATTCCCCTGCTCATCAAAGATGGATCTGCAAATCTCAGTTTTTCTTCTGTTCATTCTGTTCACTGCAGGTACAAAGACTATAGTGTTTGTTTTTAATGTCATTATACAGCAATGTTTCTCTCTCATACGTTCTCTCTGCTTTCAATTACTAAAGGACAGTCTCGCAGCTGCTATCAGTGCACAAGTCTGCAGGGGAGCTCTTGTAACTCGGGAATATGTTCTGATGGATTTTCCAACTGCTTGGGTGCAACTGTGGAAGTTGGTAAGTCCAGTATGATGGATTGAAATTGACTGGTGCAGCAACACAGTTTAAATGATGTTGAAGTCAAAGAATTGTTTTTCTGGAAAGAATTAACACAACAGAATGTTCTATATAAATGATTGAAATTCACTTATTTTCACTCAAATTGTTATTCTGATAATGTAATTGTAAATACATTATGTATATGTATATGTCTAAATACATACATTTCCATCACAATACTTAACTGCTCATTCCTGTATCGTTTGTTTTTCAGTCAACTTTACTAAATTTACAGCGAAAACTTGTGCTCCACTTGTCTGTCCAAGTGGCTCTATAAACCTCGGCATCGGAAAAATCTCTTCTTACTGCTGTGACACAGACCTGTGTAACAACAAAGATGCTACAGGTATTGCACTTTACAGTCAGACCAGTTTACAGAAAAAAGAGGCTATATGTATTATTAGTCCCACCCTTTCCACACATAAACTAATCCCAGTAAATGAGCGGACAGTCACAGTCGATTCAGTAAATTATAAGCTGTTTCCTCACAAAATCGGTTTATTTAGTGTATTGAAGCCTTTCCTCCATTGACTGCCATTAAAAAAAACCTCTTGTCTCCTTCCCTGCATTACAACAGCATCAGCATTAGTCAGTTGTCGGTCATTTACATAGAAAACATTTAAAAGCAGCAGAACTTTATGTAAAAAGCTCTGACAGAACTTTATGATTAGCTCAAGACTTCTTACATCAATGTGTTCTGAAATCATACGTGCTCAAACTGGTAATCTCCACACAGAGCATCGTACATGATCTCTTAAAGGGTACATATCATGCTTTTAAATCATTCATTTTTACATATAAATCATGCATTTGTGGTCTATATAAAGCAGAGATGCCCAAACTAGGGCCCGCGGGCCAAAGTTGGCCCGTGGTATCCTTTGATTTGGCCCGCCATACCGTCCGGGGAGAGGGGATTTCTTTAAAATGCAAAACTTTACAAATAAAACTGCATTAGTTAATCAGATTGAAGTTGTTTTATATTTATTTTAAATATTATAAAATAAATAAACCCATAGCAACTTTAATGTAATACCGTTTGATTTATGATGCAAAATTTACTTTTGGCCCACGGCCCACAATCAAGTTTGATTTTTGGCCCTTCGTAGGAAAAAGTTTGGGCACCCGATATAAAGCATAACTGCAATGCTTGGGTCTGAATTCCTCATTATTATAGCTCCACAGGTCGCTTTTCTACCCCTTTTCTGATGTGCGTCTGTGAGCAACTTGTTTTGAAGCGGTCTCTTTAAATATAAAGGAGATGTGTCATGCCCCGCCCGCTCTCGAGGTCGCTGAGTTCACGGTCGGTTCAACTCCACCCCGTTTTATAGTTTGGTTAGAGATATACGATTATATACTATAGCTTGAAAGAACATTTTTATTCACACGTTAACAAAATGTCAACAACGGAAGACTTGTCCATCAAGCCTTACATGTTCAACCCAGAGCGAGCGAGTTGAAAAAGGCGACGACAAACCTGCAGAACTTCTTCATATGGATTTATGTATTGCAATGGTATGTAACTGTATTGTGTGTTATTAGTGAAAGTCGATTATTTCTCGTTAAAACAAGCACACTAACAAGATAAATTACTACGGTCTACCCAGATAGCAAACTGACATTGAATCAACGTGGAAACGACGTCTCTCATGACATTGAAACAACGTTGATTTTGCTCGTCGAATTAACGTTGAACCAACGTCAGACGCGGCATTCTTCAAAGCTAAATGAAAATCGAAAATTGGTTTGCTTTCATAACGTTGAAACAACGCGTTGATTTCAAGTTGATTTTCCGTTAGTTTTGAAAGAATGACGCGTCTGACGTTGGTTCAACGTTAATTCGATGAGCAAAACAATGTCAGATCAATGTTGTTTCGATGTCATATTTCCCCGTTGATTCAATGTCAGTTTGCTATCTGGGTAATCTTCCCACTAAAAATCTGTATTGATAATATGATACGTTTAGAAAAGCATCAGAAAACACAGCAGCTAAATGATCATTTATGAAACTCAAGAACAATAATACTGCAGACGTGTAACGTTACTTCAAAACAAAAACAAAGAAAGACAAAGGTACTGCTAAACCACAACCACCATGTGTTTTAAGAAAGTAAAGTACTTTAATTTTATTAACGATATTTACAGCTTATCGAAATGCTCTGTTCGTCGTCTCCAAAGATAGAAGGAATTGACCCGTCATTCAGACGAAGTCGATCGGCAAACCCTTCTTTATACTGGCGGAGGTTGTTGAAGTTTGAATCCTTGAAGCGCTTCAGGTCACTACATCCAACAACCGAACATTTTGACTTGCCCTCTCGTAACTTCTGCATCCTTGAGCTTAGTGTTGGACCGGTAGTCAATGTCCTTGTTTGTCAGTTCCGCTGCAAATACGGTGACGTGATTGTTCAAAAAATGTCATAGAGAACAGAAAAATCTGAACAGGTTGAAAAATATGACCAAAACAGAATAAACAAAGCACCTGAAGACATAAACGAAGCACCTGAAGAGAATAATTTCATATTTTCTGTACTTATAAACACTCCACATATACAAAAAAATGCATTTAAGGGCTAAAAAAGTGGATTTTGCATGATATTATGTCCCCTTTAACTGTAAATTACCAGTAAAGACTTGAGTGCAAGTGTGATTAGGACGTTTTGTTGGTACAGTGAGATGTTTTCGACTGGGAGAATCACAGGTTACTGTGATTTTGCCAACATGTTCCTGTATAAACATTCTTGTTGATCCTGGAGCAACAATCCAATCATCCAATCAGATTTGAGGGGTGGGATTACATTTAAAGGCAAGTTTAGGCTTACAACAAGAGTTAGTGGCTTATACATCATTCCTATCTATCATTTCCCTCTTATTTTAGGGATAAAATATTGGTCAGATTAGGTTTAGGGTGTTAGGACTTTGTTTAAGGACAGGAATGTTGCTCCAGGATCAACAAAAGATGCTGATCCAGGACCATGCAAAATCTTAGCAAAATCACAGCAACCATGCAGAATATAAAACTAGAACCCTGTAAAGAAAGCACATCTATTTTTCCTCCTGTAGATCCTTCTAATCCCACCAATGGAAACTCTTGTTACTACTGTGATGGACAGAACTGCTTGAACACAGTGAAATGTTCAGGGAATGAAGATCGCTGCATTAAAGCAACAGGTGAGAATCTGGAAACAGAAGAAGATTGATGTTATTTTCATTTAAACTGCCTTGTAGGTTTTAAATATTTGACACAGATCACATAATGTCCAGCTTAGACTAACCTTTGTTCTCTTTCTTTTCATCAGGGAAGTTTGGAGACCAGACATTGGTTGTAAAAGGCTGTGTCTCTAAATTAATTTGTGACGCCACTTCATTTATTCCTAGTGTTGAGGGCATCTCGTGTTGTGAGGGGAACCTGTGTAACGGGTCTCAGAGTGTCACTCAGAGCGTCCTGATCTTCTGCGGTTCTCTGCTCTCATACTTCCTGATGCACTGAATACAGTGTTCTACAATGTGACACGCTATATATGGCTTGAATTTTGTATGTACACTTTATGGAAAACAATGTGCAAATCACCTTTACACCTGTTTCTGGTTTTATTTTTTTTAATAAATCATACCAGTGGGTTAGTTAGAATGTTTTGAAGAATTAAAAATACATTTTGGTCCAAAAATAACAGAAACTACGTTTTATTGAAAAAATTGAACATTAATTTAAGCCAATTTATTAACTTTCCGACTCTTACATGTCAGATGATCTTATTTCATTTTTGCTTGTCAAACCGGCCAAACAGTAATATTGCAACTACTTGTTCATACTTTCTCTCTGTCTTTGAGAACATGCTTTGTGCCAGAGGATTTAAAAATTAGCCTTAAAGCTACACTGTGTAACTCTTTAAGTTTATTCTTAGCTAAAACACTTAGTTCTTTCAAAAATATATGTGCTCATTAATGTATATTTACTTCGTTCAAGTAATAAAGTATTATGATCCAAATGTCTTAGCACTCATATGGTGCTATTCTAAATAGCTTAAGAGCTCTACTATACTACACAATAAAAAGATATAAACAGTAAACAGGATGGATTCCTCTTCCTCAAACACACAATGACCCCAATTCACATGTTTCAAGGCGTTAAGGTCAAACTGGGACAAATTTATTGGCAAACTGGGACACTTAAAACACATTCATTAGTTATTCCAGTCTAGGCCTTATACAAAGTACATTAAATTAAATACACAATAACAATATAAACAACAACAACAATAATATAAACATCACATTGTGATGTTTGAAAGGGTGCAGGTACAGCAGATTCAAACCAACCCCCTCGCTTGTCTTCCCAAATGTTGTTGTTTTTTTATGTACTGGGTTTAATTTATTTCATATAAATATAATTTAAAAAAACAGTAACCTTCATAAAAATCTCTTGTAGGCTAATTAATTGCATACAGGCTAAATTTAATTTCTGTACGGTAGATTAATCTACAGGTCAGCCAGAGAAAGTGAACGCCACCCCATCTTCAATGAGAATATTCTCATTAGCATTAGCATCGCAAGCAAGCTCAATATAATAGCCTAATAATAATAAAACAGTTAATTTGTAATTTATATTTAAGCAAATGCCAAATTGCAACATGATAAAACAGGTGAGTGTTAAAAAAAAAAAACACACACACACACATGGAGAGCATGAAAATAAAAACAAAAATAATAAGGAAAAGGGCAAGAGTTCAATCAAATATAAGTAGTCATTTTACTTACCATCACAGATCAATGCAAGGTTGTTAAATATTATGTGCCACACCCTGGAAGTGATGTTATAGCCACAGAATCTTCATGTAACTGACGCTAAAGGGCGCCTAAAGCGTCAAATATTGAAGCATGGTCAAAGGTGACGCCTTGGGGTGAGAATGCGTTGTAATAAATACATATCCATGTGAAAGTATTAAGCTTAAAGGTTCTCAAAGCGATCCTGGGTGTTGACGTTCGAATATTTTCAAACAAATCGGAGGCTAGCTAGACCCTCCCTCCTCCGCATCTCATCTCATCTCCTCCCCCTCCCTTCCGTGCTTCCTGAAATAATTGTGAACGTGCATAGTTCTAGCTAATAATATCCTTGTGTGGGTTTGGCGAACATAAGCGTCAATTTAGAAGAAAAAAAAAACCAATTTAACATTACCCACCTGTCCAGCAAAAACAGAGCAACCTGAATGTCGGACTGGAAGCCCTTCTGCCGCCGGAGTTCTCGCCATCGTTCAAAAGCTTTGCTACCGATGTAAATTCGGAACTTCGCACGTTCTTTATCCGACTCCTTGTTTTTAATTTGTTCTTCAGAACGACGTCTCTTTGGTCGTGTGTCGGTCATTTTTCAAACTTCCCTCTGATGCTTCACTCTCCTTCACACACACACACACCCTTCACACCCCCTTCAGACCCACCCTCAAATACTTCTTGCCAGTGATTGGCTGGAACACTGTTTGTTAGGTTTCGTGGTCCGGGTAAGACATGATTGTTTTTGTTGCCGTTTGTGGAGCCTGTGGTGTCTACAGAGACCGCGTTTTTTTACAGTGTGTTTAGGGGACAGGCAGCTAGCCGATAGTGAGGAGACGTTTGATGTATGTGACAAAAAATGTTTTGGCCCCACATCGCTCAGAGAACCTTTAACTGTCCCACTTTACCCACTGTCCCACTTTACCAGTTATCACCCTGCATATACAAACACACACATGGAATATGAATACAAGCCAAGTCAGAAATCAACTTTTTTTTTCTAAAATGCTTTGTGTGTGTGTGTGTGTGTAATCTGTGTATTTATATTTACACTATAAACAGAAATTTATTCTAATTTTCTTTCTTTCTCAAAACACTGAGTTTTGATAAGTTAGATATTTATGTATAAGTGTTTTCACATATGATCATTAGGTGTAGGTCATCAGTAAATGAGTGTGGGATTTAAATTCAGAGTTTCCTGAATGAGACAAAAGAGCTGTTAGTTTTGAAAGTAATGTAGAGAACTGTGTTTAGAGTTTTGCAAAAAGTTTGTTTTACAATAGCAAACTGAGTTTAAAGTGTAACGTGCTTGTAGTTTTGCAGACTGGATCTGAAGATTCGGTACGTGTGACTGGTCCACAGCACGACAAGATTTTACGGGTCAAAATCTTGTAATCTGACACAGTGACTATCGTAACTCTACACATAGGTGATCAATGCTCGTCTGTTGCTACAGCCAACGACAGAACAGTTTGCATGCTTTGCTCGAACTTTTGCCATTGCGTTAGAACTGGTCACACTGTTGTCGCTTGCGAAAACCAAATGGTGGCGCCCTGGGTGGAAACGTGCGTATTAAGGGGCGGTAATATTATAATAAGATCCCCTTCCTACATCAGAAAGGGGAGCGAAATCTGATTGGCTTATTTTTGACATGCTTGCAGAGAAAGGCTTACCAAAACAAAGTTCCTGGGTTTCACTTTTCCTGTTTTCTGGGTTGGTAGATGCACTTAAACATGGAAAAAGTCAGATTTTTAAGATGTCACCTTTAAAATATAATTCTCTCATGAAGATCCTCCCCCTCTGAGAAGCTATAAAATGGCACTGAAACAGACACATTATTTTATTCTCCTCCTGATCAAAGATGGATCTGCAAATCTCAGTTTTTTTCCTGTTCACTTTTTTCACAGCGGGTACAAAGAGAAATTGCTTGAATTATTATGGTGTACAAATACCAATTACTCATGTCTCTTACTGTCTCTCTGTTTTATTACTAAAGGACACTCGCTCAAATGTTATGCGTGCATGGGTCTGACGGATTCTTGTGTACAACCGTTGACTTGTCCCAGTGGATTATCCAAGTGTTCAACAGCTGTGACACAAATCGGTAAGTCCGTTGTTGTTTTTGATATGTACTGTCACTTGTTCCGACTGATGAAGATTCTGCCATAATTTACTGGTCCTGTGACAGTGTAAATGGTATTTCTCACATAACATTGATGGAATTTACAAATTCACTAATTTATGTTTCTGCTATTTAATTTTTGTATTTAATTTGTGTAGTTTGTTTTCTTTGCTATCAACAGAGTTTGCATTAACAATAAAATGATTTGAAATATCAATGCATTGTTTTGCACACATGTGTTTCTTTTTTTAACTCACTGTAACTTTCTACTTCTGAGCATTCATGAATGATTGTTTTCATCAAAATAATGTGAAGTTGAACCAGTCTTTCAATTTTTAGGTGACATCACTTCTAGTGTCAAAAGTTGTGCTGTTGACTGTCAAAATGGGTCCATGAACCTTGGTGTTTTAAAGATGTCTTCATTATGCTGTGACACAGACCTTTGTAATGCCAAAGATGCTCCAGGTATTGTGCTTCAATGTTCATGTGCAAAATCTTCTTTAAAGTCATCACTCATTTTACCTCCATATGAAATCAATCAAGAAAAAAAAAAGCTGGGTAGATTGATTTTCTGTCAGGAATTGATTGAATGGAACCTCTAAAGGATTGTAGTCCCATTTTGTAACAAAAACAAAACGAAATGAAAGAACACTTGTTTTCCTCCTGATGTAGATCTCAGCTCTAATGTCCCCAATGGAAAGCAATGTTTCTATTGTGACGAGCACAGCTGCTTAAACATAACGAGCTGTTCAGGGACTGAAGATCGCTGCATTAAAGCAACAGGTGAGAATCTGTTAAAAGAATATCATCATTCATTTTGTTTTTCCATCTTGCACTTTAAGGATTTTGACACAGATCACATGTATCAATGTCCAGCTTAGACTAAATCAACCTTTGTTTTCTTTCGTTTCATCAGGGACTTTTGGAGGCCAGACATTGGTTGTAAAAGGCTGTGTGTCTAAATCTATTTGTGACGCCACAACATCAGTTAGTAATGTCGAGGGCATCTCGTGTTGTGAGGGGAACCTGTGTAACGGGTCTCAGAGTGTCATCCAGAGCGTCCTGATCCTCTGCTTTTCTCTGCTCTCATACTTCCTGATGCACTGAATACAGCAGATCTTCACATTTGTAAAACAATAATTGCAATCTCAATATCAGGATTTTCCTGCTCAGTTAAAGATCACAAAAGCAACAACAGAAATAGTCAGATAATTAGCACTAACACTTCACAAATACTTGATTGATTGATTGATTGATTGATTGATTACTTTATTAACTCCAACAATATGCACTTTTGTCTATCATTTCACCTCATGCACATTGTGCAATTAACATTTTTTGTAAACAACTCAGTTTTTGTTTGAGTGTTGATTATTATATTTGACCATAAATAGCAATAAATATAAATAATAATTGTTAGGGCTTTTCTTTAAGCCGTTGTCGTTGATAACAGGGGTGAGCAGGTTTTTCATGCAAACAATGTCTTTATTTTGTTCCAATGAATAAACATTGCCACAAATCCACTTCCTGTGTCTTTTTATTCATTCATTTTGATGAAAACCTATACGTAGAGTTCACACCTGGCAATATCCCTGACTTTCTTTCTTTGCAATTGCGAGTTTACATCTTTTTTATCTCATACGCGATATACAAAGTCACAATCGCAAGTTATAAAATATGAATTTTCTCACAATTCTGACTTCTTCACACACAGAGCTTGACTTTCTCAGAGTCAGTAATGTAAAATACTAAAACTATTTAATTTAAAATTAACTATTTAATTCATAGATTATCTTTTGTAGGGAGAGAGAGAGAGAGAGTGGGGATGGTTGCAACACTTTTTGCATTTCATTGAGTTTCTCAAAAACTATATGCATTTTAAAGTCAAAATTTTAATACAATATATCCACATCTGTCAGCTATCCACTCACATTGCTGCAACACGTGTATGAAGAGTTCAGATGCAAAAGCCTCTAAATGCCATTTGAAATTTTCTTCTTTAATGATGATTTTTATCAAACTTGTATATTTAAGTTCAGTAATTTTACTTAAATAACAATTAATAGGTAATTATCATTGCCATTTAAGTGAAATCACTGAACTTAAATATACAAGCTTGATAAAAATGATCATTCTAGAAGAAAATTTCAAATGGCACTTAGAGGCTTTTGCATCTGAACTCTTCATATGATAATTAATGTACAGTTTAAACATGAACAGACAAAGCCAAACGTTACAACTGACCCATGATTGGCCAGGTGTAACAAATCCACTGAAGGCGAGTTGTAGGGTCTTCCCTAAATTGGCTGGGGGATGTTAATCAGAATCAACACACTGACATTTAATAATACTTCTGTGAAAGCTTACATCATCTGTGTGTAAGTGAGTGTTGTAACTGTGTGGAAAGTGAATGTTGGATTCTTGTAAGGTTATGAGGCAAATAGCAATGTTCCCTTTCGAAAGGGAACACGCACTCCGTTGATGACACATATAGGCATTCCCCAAAGCGCCATCGATGCAGTACGAGTTCCCTGTTCTCAGGGGAATGGTATAGCTTTAGCATTAGTTCTTCCAGGAAGATTTAAAACATCATCAAAGTTCATGTGACATCAGTGGGTTAGTTAGAATGTTTTGAAGCATCGAAAATACATTTTGGTCCAAAAATAACAAAAACGATGACTTTATTGGCTATTCTTCCGGTTCTGTTGTGTATCCACGTTCAGTGACGCTGCTGACGTAAGACACTGCTGACGTGTATCTGGTGCGGCTGAGCTTTATTTACAGTCTGGGGAGACGCACGCTGTACAAAACAATCAAACATGATTTCAAAACAGAGGTAAGACTTGCATTTTTTTGCCGTGCCACACTGTAAAAATGAATATGCTTTATCTAATCAATAAAATTGTGGCAAAAGATTACAAACAATATTATTAATTAAATTCAACAAATTAGAATTGAGTAATAATTAATCAAATTATTCCTTAAAAGTTAACCATATAAAATGAGTAAAGTTTACACCAAAAAAATTTAACTAAAATATTGGAATAACAGACAGACGTCAAAGATTATTTAAGAACTCTTTATTTTATATTGCCAACATTGAAGACACCTGATGTTAACAAGCAGAATCACTGAAGGAGAAAACCATAATTTTAAAACAAACCTAAAACAAACACCAATCACCATAATGGTAACTTAAATGTACTTTTTCTTTTTTTAATACGTTTTACTCATTTTATATGGTTAACTTTTAAGGAATTAATTTGATTAATTATTACTAAATTCTATTGTTAAATTGGGGGTCTTTATTTCCATTCTGGACAAGGCGTACATACATTTTCAATGGAGGGACAGAAAGCTCTCAGACTAAATCTAAAATATCTTAAACTGTGTTTCGAATATGAACGGAGGTCTTACGGGCTTGGAATGTCATTAATGACATAATTATCATTTTTGGCTGAACTAACCTTCACATCTATCCAATCCTGTCCTTATACTCAGTGTATAAAATCGGTATACACATGTTTGAGTTTGCAGATGCTGACGTGACAAGGCAGTCTTCAGGCAGGAAGTGCAGATCCGCTACTCTCGGATTATGCACTACGGACGGGGCCTACGCCAAAGAACTCAAATAATTGCTTGCTGGGCTGTCAATAAATTAATGCTTGTTACATTTATTTATTTATTACAGGGATAGTGCAGATTAATAAATATATCTGTCAAAATGCCAGAATTAGCCAAAAGGCTATTTTTCATTTGCAGTCCCTATGACAGAAAAAAGTAAAGTAAAGTAAAAAGTCACCCTAGAGAAAAGTACATGTTTACATAACAATATAAAAGTACATTACATCAGACAAATGGGGGTGTGGATATGGGGGTGAGGTTCCACAACTCGAACAGAAAAAGCACTTTGACCAAACACACAATGGTAGGCTACAATCTCCCCAAATGTACGTTTTAATTAGAAATGTGTTTAGTTATTAATTATTTGCAGAAGGATTGGTCATTGGTCATATGTGGCTGCTTTCTGCTTTCTTTCAGAAGATGTGCTAACTGATCATGTGTAGGCTAATACTGGCAACACATTTTTCCCGGTTTTCTCGCGTTTTTTAGCCCTGTCTCCCAGACCACTCCCGGTTTGTTATTTCTCCCACGGGAAACTCCCGTTATTTGTATGGCCCAAACTCCTTTATGAATAATCGGACCAATATGTTTGTCTAATGTTGACCAGTTGCCAGATGTTGTGTTAAATGCTTTATATTCACACAATCCACACACCACACATACAATTTCAAGGTTTGTCACCTCAACCTGGCAACCAATAGGCAACCTACCCCAGTTGCACCCACCCGAATTTCTCGGATTTTGAAAACCCTAATGTTGACATGAACATAAGACATATGTTGCAACTATCCCATCTTGCAATCGAACAGACATAAAAGGAACGGAAACATTGTTATTTTATTCTGCTGACACGAGATGGATCTGCGAGTCTCTGTTGTTCTTCTTTTCGTTTTTCTCAATGGAGGTACAAGAAACAGCAAGTACACTCTAAAAACAAATGGTGCTAAATAGCACTAAAAGTGGTTCATTGGCTTGTAATCATAGGGGAACCACTTATCTTTGTCATATGGTGCTATGTAGAACCATAAGAGGTGCCATAGAGCGTGTTAACCACCACAGAGAACCACTGAGGAACCGCTGAAGAACCAAACTGGGCTTAACAGGTTCTTTAAATGGTAGTGGTGCTATATAGCACCATGACAACTGGAAAGAACCCCTTAAGAACCACTGAGGAACCTTTTTTTTTTTTTAGAGTGTAGGCTATTGAATATTATTTGGGACACATACTGTATAGTGGTAACTCAAAATCTCTCTATGTCTTTAAGGATATTCTCTTAAGTGTTACTCATGCATGCCTGATTCGACGGGTTCCTGTAAAGCAAAAGTGGAGACATGTCAAGATGGATTTTCTATATGTGCAAGCAGTAAAGTGGAACAATCAGATGGTAAGTCCATATGATGTGGAAATCTGCTATAATAATTTACTGAAATTTATTGTACCGCTGGAGAGAATGTACTTGGAATTGTTTTATTATCCTATTATATGGTGGTTTATGTCTTTTCTAGCAGGTTTAACTAAGGTGTTCATCACTAAAGCATGTGCAGATCAATGTAAACCAGGGACCCAAAAGATAGATGAAGGGTCATTGTCTGTCCAGTGTTGTGACACTGACCTTTGCAATGCAGCAGGTATTGGGCTTTTTTGACTTTTTTGATTTAATCCACACAAGTGATTGTTCATAAGATACAATATCAAGAGTCAAAATAAAAAAAAGAATAGTGTAAAACTTGAACAGCACGATTAAAATTAGTCAAGTGCTTCAAAGAGTAATTATTGTTTTTAAAAAATGTGATGAAATTGATTAACAATAAACATGCCATTTTATTAATAACTGTTATTATAATTATTATTATTACTATATTAATTAATACTAATTTCTTTGTTTTTTAGACGGAATGGTCAAGGGAAGCTTCCTCCTGCTCTTCTCTCCTCTTCTCTTCTACTTCCTGTTTCAGTGAGTCCAGATTCTGCAACAAACACCAGCGAATGTGGATTGCTATACTTTTCTAAATAACAACGCATTCTCACCCCAAGGCGTCACCTTTGACCATGCTTCAATATTTGACGTTTTAGGCGCCCTTTAGCGTCACTTACATGACGCGATCCTACGGCGTCATCTAACTGACGCTAAAGGAAAGCGTCAGTTAGAGGACGCGGTTAGGTTTAGGTGTGGGGTGGGGGTAGGGTACACGCGATCCTAGGGCGTCATCTAACTGACGCTAAAGGGCGCCTAAAGCGTCAGATATTGAAGCATGTCCAAATGCTTCCCAAGGCGTCAGTTAGGTGACGCCTTGGGAGTGAGAATGGGCTGTAAATAACAACGCATTCTCACCCCAAGGCGTCACCTTTGACCATGCTTCAATATTTGACGTTTTAGGCGCCCTTTAGCGTCACTTACATGACGCGATCCTACGGCGTCATCTAACTGACGCTAAAGGAAAGCGTCAGTTAGAGGACGCGGTTAGGTTTAGGTGTGGGGTGGGGGTAGGGTACACGCAATCCTAGGGCGTCATCTAACTGACGCTAAAGGGCGCCTTAAGCGTCAGATATTGAAGCATGTCCAAATGCTTCCCAAGGCGTCAGTTAGGTGACGCCTTGGGAGTGAGAATGGGCTGTAAATAAAGATCGTTTGTTGCACTGATGTTCTTTGGTTTAAGGAACTAAAAGTATTTACTTTATTAAATTAATATTGTACAAAACACTGCATCAGCACTATGTTTTTCCTATGCTTAAAATAAAGTTATTATAGAATGTAAGAATTAAAGAAAAATTTTACTGTTTTTAAAAACTGTGTTAAAATACTCTAAAGGATGTACATGAAGAGTTCAGATGCAAAAGCCTCTAAGTGCCATTTGAAATTTTCTTCTAGAATGATAATTTTTATCAAGCTTGTATATTTAAGTTCAGTAATTTCACTTAAATGGCAATGAAGATTACCTATTAATTGTCATTTAAGTGAAATTACTGAACTTACATATACAAGCTTGATAAAAATGGTCATTTTAGAAGAAAATTTCAAATGGCATTTAGAGGCTTTTGCATCTGAACTCTTCATGTTTATATGTCTCAGTTATTTCTGTGAGTGACTGGAAATGTGTCCATCTTCAGTTTCTTTTGGATGTTCAACTTGTAAGTTTTAAGTCAAAGGTTGAAATGCTTAGACATAATATAATCTACAACTGCTCTCAGTTGCGCTCTCAGGGAATTGGAGACATTTAGCTTTTATCCAGAGAGACTGTGGCATTGCCCATGTGATCTAACATGTATCATGTCCCTGTATCGGTTCCCAACAGGGGGGTCGTGTCATATCTTGAAAAGTTTTGAGCAATGAGCAGTAAATAAAATTCCAAAATTTTAAAAAAAATTCAAAATTCATATAATGAACGAGTTCATCATGGATCCATTTTTCAATCCGTATTTTTGTCTTATCCACTATGAACCACTATGGCTTCTCCAAGGCTTACGTTTTGAAATTACTAAGGGCCTACTGATGTTTTTGTTATTATATTTTCAATATTACAGGCTATTATTTGTACGTAAATATATCTAGTTACAGTAAACATACTGTTTGTTTGAAAACAACATATTTTGTCATCCTTGCTGCAAGCTTACAAGAGCGAAAATATCATTAAATGTGAAGGGGGGCCCTAAAATTCGGAAATACGGAACTGACTCTCACTCGCCTAAATCTCACTCCCATCCGGGTCACGGCACCAAATGTAACTGATCTTACAAGACCCACTCCGAGCAGGATTCAAACAGGGGTCTCTGGTGTGGGAGGCGGGCGCATTAACAAGAACGCTAAAGACTGCAGCCGTTGCTCGGGCATCTCTTGAGGGCAGAAGAGTGAGGTGTATTACACGCACAGCTCTTATTGGCTGTTAGCCTACAGTTATCTGTCTGTGTACTTCGGTTCAAAAAGGCAGGAAATGGTTAGGGTTAGGGCGCTTGTACGTAGCTCATAGTCAATCGCTTCAGTTATACCAGATGACGTATGTAGAGCGAAAGAAATTTGACGAGGAAGAAGATGATGGGTCAGAGATTTATTTGCGTTCTAAACTACTTTGAACAATATCTAAGGCTGCATCGAAAATTAACTTCACGTCTGCTGCCATGTTCGATCCATAGGTATAAACAAACTGCTTCGGTAAGTCGCATAGACGTCGTCATCGTCTTGCTGCTCCCTCCCTGTTCTGTGATTGGTCCCCTCGCTGAGGCAAAAATTTGGTCCATGATATCTAGACTACCAGCGTGAATAAAAGCAGTATGGGGAAACCCAGGCTACTGTAGCTTAATAATGGTCATCACCATTTTGGTCTCCCAGCATGCATTGTAGCATGAACATGTCACCATTATTGAGATTCATATGCTGATTCTTTATGTCTGTGTGACATCAAGAAAAAAAATTAATCTGTTTAAGAACTTCTGTTTCGAATAGACAAAAAAAAATGTTGAATTGGCTCAACTACAAAAGTTTTGTTACAGAATAGTAGTAGGAAGTTCGGATCATTTTACCGACTCGGATCTTTGAGTCTGTTAAGCAAAATGAACAAACCTTTTTTCGAGTCATTTTGTTCATGTCAGCATAATATAATTAAAAGGGCATGTTAAATATCCCAACACATCTAGTACTTACAAAAATCTTGACTACATTTGTACGTAATCATGACTAGATCATGTAGTAACACTTGAATGACTCAAGTGTTACTACATGATCTAGTCATGATTTGTGCAACCGTTTGAGATTTTTGGTGAACTTTAGTATACTTTTAGAAAATGTCTTTAGTAACACTTGAGTAATTACTAGTTAGTTCCAATGATCTTCACTTTATAATACGGATCCAAATAATTAGTAATTCCCACAGAAGTATCTAGTAACACTTTCATCTGTGAGCTATTACTTACTAATTCGTTAATAAGAATTTATTTTAGTTAGTAGTTACTAGATTGTTAATAAACTTTTTCAGTAGTTCTCTGGGAAGTATTAAAAAAATAGTAGTTATTGATTACCTAATAGTGAACTACCACTTTCGTCTGTGCGCTATTACTTACTAGTTCGTTAATCAGAGTTTCTTGTTAGTTAATAATAGTTACTAGATTGTTAATATTGTGTTACTCATTAGTTCTTGTGTAGTTATTCATTAACGAAGGAACCGTATTCTAAAGTGTTACCGAGAAATGATTAGTTCATTTTCTTCGAGTCTTCGGGTTTGAGTCATTCGTTCTTTTGTCATGTGACCGCTGGTATCTCGCATCAAATACAACATAGATATAGATTCATATTAATGACTGCGTTGGAATGTGTATTGTTTTATATTTAGGCATTAAAATACAAAATATGTGTATTTTATCTGGAAAATAAAAGTTTCATCTTATTATTGTCCCCATTATTGTACATCTGTGGTGTGTTTTATTCAATGTATTCTCATCCCAAGGTAAGCGTAGACATCCAACACACATGGCACCCTTTAGGGTCAAAATAACACGCTTTGGTTATGGTAGGTTTAGGTCAGGGGTAGGGTTTGGGTTAGATCACTAGGGGGCGCCTTCTGCCCCATATATATCTGCGTCTCATATTGACGCTAAAGGTGCCATGTGCGTTGGATGTCTACGCCAAAAGCGTCGTATAGGATGCCTTGGGATGAGAACGGGCTGGTTTTAGTATATATTAAACATTAACTACTATTATATTATACTTTATCTACGTGCTTGTTTGTTAAAAGTTTGTGAATTAGTAGGCTATTCAATAAGGTGACAACTCTTGTGACAAAAGAACGAAGGACTCAAATCTAAAGACTCGGAAAAAATTAACTATTTCTCTTTCTGGTACTAACAGCATAGTCTCTATGGGACTGACAGGAAGAACGAAAGACTCGAACCCGGCCGAACCCGAACTCGAGACTCAAGACTCGAGAGATTAACTAATCATTTCTCTTTCCGGTACTGACAGCATAGTCTTTATGGGACTGGCAGGAAGAATGAAAGAATCGGACCCACCCCAAACCCGATGACTCAGAGATGAACTAACCATTTCTGTTTCCACTACAGATTCAGAACCCATATGTTGCGCAATGGGCATGCGCGGTTAACACAAAATGAACAAATCACTCTCTGAGACAACTCGGTAGTCCCGAGTCATATTAAACATTCGTTCAAAATGAACGAATCGTTCATGAATGACACATCACTATTACAGAATAGTTGCATCTCTCCAGAAAACAAACAATGTCAAGTTGAATCAACTAAACGTTTTGTGTGAGTGTCACAGAGAACTTATTTTCAGTTCATACAATTTTTTTTTTTTTTTACAAAAGTTGAGTCAACAAGAAAAAGCTAGGGGAAATTAGTACCAAGATTTTTTGTTGTTGTTGTTTTTAACTGTGGATTTTTGCTGAACCAACACTTCAACTTTATTCAAGTTTTGTTTTTTTACAGTGGTTTATTACATCAGACCACTAAATAGTACAGCAAAAACATATATAAATTCAGTTCAGAATGTGAAGATCTGCTGTATTCAGTGCATCAGGAAGTATGAGAGCAGAGAACCGCAGAGGATCAGGACGCTCTGAGTGACACTCTGAGACCCGTTACACAGGTTCCCCTCACAACACGAGATGCCCTGAACACTATCACAAACCTCTTTATTGCCACAGCTGTTTACAGGAAATGTCTGACCATTGGCAGTCACTTAAGAAAAGAAAGAAAAAAGAAGTTGAGTCATGAAAGTAACCACTGTCTAAGCTTGGTATATGTGAACTGTATTAAAAGTTCAAAAATAAGACCTACCAACGATGAAGAGATAAAAATGAAGGCTTTAATCTTATTTTTCCAGATCCTCACCTGTTCCTTTAATGCAGCGGTCTTGACTCCCTGAACAGTCCATTATGTTTGAGCAGCTCTTTCCATCACAATAGTAACATTTCTTTCCATTGGGGATATTGGAGAAATTGGGTATATTGGGGATATTGGGTATATTGGAGAAATTGGAGAAATTGGGGATATTGGGCATATTAAGACTGGAATCTTCAGAAAGTTCTGTACAAAAAAAAGACATCAAGTGAAACAACACTACTTAAGCCACTCCATTCATTCAGTTCCTACATTTGCTTTTCTGATTGAAAGTTCTACGGAAGTAAAATGAGAGTTGACTTGATGGTTGAAAGATGGTCATTTGCATAGGGCAGGTAAAGTACAATACCTGCATCTTTGGCATTACAAAGGTCTTTGTTACAGCAGAAAAGAGCGGCAACTGCAGTGCTGATGTTTGGGTACAGACAGGTATTTGATGGAACACAACCTTTAAACTTCGCCTTAATAGGATTGCCATCTAAAATACAGATGATACAGGAATGATGACTGCACATACAATTAATTTAAAACAGAAAATGTTTTTGTCTTTCTAATCACAGCTGCGAAACAGAAGTCAAGAGAAAAGACCAAATTTGCCATAATAAAATGATCCCTTAAGTCTCAAAGTCTAAGATATCTAGTAAAAATGCTTTTCATTTTCATTAAATTATCTTATTTACATATCAATCTGAGTGGAAATGAAATTATCATAAATAACACACACACACACACACACACACACTGCTAGACTTACCAATTAGTCCTGCTGCTGTTGAACTTATGCATGTCTGGGAAAGTTCAGAGCACGTTGTTACCTGTTGTCCTGCACAAGAACCCGTCAGACTTGAGCACTCATAACAGCTGAGAGAGTGTCCTGAATAAAACAGAGAGACAGGGATCTGGATTTGGATGCAATATTAAAAAAAAATAATAATAAATAACTAAACAAAAAAGCAATTTGTCTTTGTACCTCCAGTGAAAAGAACGAACAGAAGAAAGACTGAGAGATGCAGATCCATCTTTGATTAGGTGGCAAATAAAATCAGTGCCCATTTTATAGCCTTGAAAATGGGATGGGCCTTCATGAGACAAAGCAGGTGAATAGAAAACAGGTATTTCAGGAAATGAAAATTAGGGATCAGAAAATCCGTTTTAGAAATAAGGAACGTTACGGACAATGTATACAGTATGTATGCTAACGGTAAAAAATGTCAATATTATTGACACATACGTGTACATCTACCTAACTCAATAATGAACAATAATGACAATACATTAGAACATTACTATTTATAACAGAGTCTGCTATAAAATGTGAAGAATTCGGTTTTAAAATGTTTACTTTAGGCTGGTGCGACCCGGTCTCATCCCAAGACGTCATATAACTGACGTTTTGCGACGTCTTTTGACCATACGTCAATATTCGCCTTTTTAGGGCCCCCTTAAACGTCGGTAGATGAGGTTATGGGATCCTAACTCTACCCCATACCTAAACCTAACCCTAAACCTAACCCGTCACCTAACTGACGTTAAAGGTAAAGCGTCAGTTGTATGATGGCCCGGGATCGCCATCTACCGACGTTTAAGGAGGCCCTAAAAAGGCGGATATTGACGTATGGTCAAAATACGTCCCAAAACGTCAGTTATATGACTTTTTGGGATGAGACTGTGTTAGCTGGTGCCTGGTGTGTTTGCCCGTACGGATTGGACACTTCGATAAACATACTGTACAGTGTACAATATTCTCATTCCACATGAGTCGATGCTGGGTAGTTTACTTTTGTAGTCCATTACTGAATACAAATTACATGATGAAAACTAGTTAGTAACGTAACTATTACATTACACATTTTAGGCTATATTATTCACTACTTTTTGATTAATTTTGACCTGTACTTGTTTATCAAATAGATTTGAATTGAATAATCTTGTACTATAGCGATATAAAAATACAAAGACCTGACGGGAAGTAAATTAATGTTTATTTTTGGTTGGACAATCTGTTTAAACACAAACTGATGTTCAAAGTTTTTAACCAGAAGCACCACATTAGTTCATGTTTTATTGCATGCTACTGTACCAACCAGCCAAAGATGAGTAATGAGCACATGCACTTACTAACAGCCAAAGATGAGTAATGAGTACATGCACTTACTAGCCAAAGATTAGTAAGATGAATTGACAAAAGTAATTAATTATGGTACATATGTGTTGTATAAACCTGACAGTTAAGACTTTATTTGCATAAGAATGCTTAAGGTTGGGTGGTGATGATGGGAAGTTACTGAAAATATAAAAATCGGAACAAGATTGATTTCTATTCTCTTTGCACAAACACATACAGCAGAGTTCCTCTCATGGATAAAAATGGGTGAAGGAACTATTCAAATATATCAAGACAAACAAATACAAAAAAGGGGAAAAAAATATAAAATGAACAAATTTATGTTAAGATACAAGGAAGGCTCCACCCTTAGAAATTAGTATGTAAGTACAGTATGTACTGGGAGGATCATTGAGAAATGTGGGAAGATAAAACACACAAGTGACGTTTCCCAGCATTAATTTGTCATGGACAATTATTTGCTTGCATGTTTTTTCATTCTCTTGTTCTTATTTAGGAATAGATTCTTTTATACATTTTTATTTTGTTTTCTCAAAAAATTTATAATATTTATGTTTCAAATCCTTCCAAATCATTACAGTCTTGTATTCTCTCTCTCTCTCTCTCTCTCTCTCTCTCTCTCTCTCTCTCTCTCTCTCTCTCTCTCTCTCTCTCTCTCTCTCTCTCTCTCTCTCTTTCTCGTCTCCTTGAAACTTCTTACTATCTAAAAATTCTGGTGCTAACCTTATGACTATCATTATTATCCTAACTGAAAAGTATAAATAAAAAAAAACAGGGATTAAAACATTAATGACAGTTATTTCTCAACTGGCTGTTTGATACAGTCATCATGAAATGTTCATAAAATTACAGTCTTACATTTTTTTCTTGTAACAGAGGCAGTTAAGTTCGGTATAATGGTGCTAAAACATATAAATATTAATAAAAAGTATTTGTGTTGATTAAATATTGATAGATCAACACAAATTGCACAGAAAAATCTGGTGAAAAGTTTTAAAGGGATAGTTCACCCAAAAATTTAAAATTTAAAAAGATTAATAATCCTTTAGGTGAGTGTAATATATACTCACCTAAAGGATTATTAGGAACACCTGTTCAATTTCTCATTAATGCAATTATCTAATCAACCAATCACATGGCAGTTGCTCCAATGCATTTAGGGGTGTGGTCCTGGTCAAGACAATCTCCTGAACTCCAAACTGAATGTCAGAAAGGGAAAGAAAGGTGATATAAGCAATTTTGAGCGTGGCATGGTTGTTGGTGCCAGACGGGCCGGTCTGAGTATTTCACAATCTGCTCAGTTACTGGGATTTTCACGCACAACCATTTCTAGGGTTTACAAAGAATGGGGTGAAAAGGGAAAAACATCCAGTATGCGGCAGTCCTGCTTTGTTAATGCTAGAGGTCAGAGGAGAATGGGCCGACTGATTCAAGCTGATAGAAGAGCAACTTTGACTGAAATAACCACTCGTTACAACCGAGGTATGCAGCAAAGCATTTGTGAAGCCACAACACGCACAACCTTGAGGCGGATGGGCTACAATGTGCAAGAGCTCACCAAAATTGGACAGTTGAAGACGAGAAAATTGAAATTGAAGAGAAAATGTTGCCTGGTCTAATGAGTCTCGATTTCTGTTTAGACATTCAGATGGTAGAGTCAGAATTTGGCGTAAACAGAATGAGAACATGGATCCATCATGTCTTGTTACCACTGCGCAGGCTGCTGGTGGTGGTGTAATGGTGTGGGGGATGTTTTCTTGGCACACTTTAGTATCAATTGGGCATCGTTTACATGCCACAGCCTACCTGGGCATTGTTTCTGACCATGTCCATCCCTTTATGGCCACCATGTCCCCATCCTCTGATGTCTACTTTCAGCAGGATAATGCACCATGCCACAAAGCTTAAATCATTTCAAATTGGTTTCTTGAACATGACAATGAGTTCACTGTACTAAAATGGCCCCCACAGTCACCAGATCTTAACCCAATAGAGCATCTTTGGGATGTGGTGGAAAAGGAGCTTCATGCCCGGGATGTGCATCCCACAAATCTCCATCAACTGCAAGATGCTATCCTATCAATATGGGCCAACATTTCTAATGCTTTCAGCATCTTGTTGAATCAATGACACATAGAATTAAGGCAATTCTGAAGGCGAAAGCGGGTCAAACACAGTATTAGTATGGTGTTCCTAATAATCCTTTAGGTGAGTGTAGCTCTAAGTGAATGAAAACATCCTGTAAACCTTTAAATATGAGAGTGGAAAGCTATGGGTTTATTTATGTGAAAGTTCTCAGCACTAACAATATGTATTAGTAGATCTCATTAAATCTTAAATTAAATCTCAGACATATTAAATCCAATGTAACGTTACTATTGAAATTGATTTCTAGACATGGGAATGTTATTTTTTTCCTAAAATTGTTATTGTATAATTTATCTGATTTAGCATAGTATTATACATTGGTTTTTTTTCTTTGATGGATGTAAACCTGTTTTAGCAGACTATAAAACAACATTAGGAAACTTTAAAATAGCAAAATTTGGGCACTTTAAGCGATAGACTGAAGCTCTTCTGTGTGAAGACTGTTTGCATGAGCCAAAAGTGAAAGTTTCGGCAATGAACACTCAGTATTTATTTTATTAAAATGCCAAACACCACAAAATCCCCAGTGTTAAATTAACACTGAGAGTGTGAATTATATAAACTCTGAGCAGAGTTAATACTGTTAAGACTTAATACTGAAGGAGAGATAAAGTTAATGAGACAATTGAGTGAATAATTGACTGATGATTGAGCATTATTGAAGACACCTGATGTTAACAAACAGAATCACTGAAGGAGAAAACCAGAATTTAAGTCATAATTATGATGATTAGTTTTTGTTTTAGTTGGGCTCTTGACCATTAAATCATTAACTTCAGTTTTTGTTTGGCTGCTGTATATGAGTTATAACAGCCTGATGAACAAATAGAAAAGGTGATCTGATGGTGTTGGTATGTGTTCAAATCGAGTATCCCATGAGTGCTGTACGTGTTAAAAAGTGTGGCAGTTGCCATACGCTGGCATTCAGACAAAACAAGGGAAATGAACAGCTCATGATGCTGCTACATTTGTTCTGTTGGCCCTTGGCAGAAATTGCAGCTTTGAAAAGCAAATTTAAACAGCCTAACCGTATGTCCTATAACCAGATGCGATGCGTTAAGATTTCCAGTGGCAAGCAATTTGTTTGTCCACTTGACTCAAGACGGGACAAAATCAATTAAAAAGCACAGCCAATCAGAAGAGTGTGTGGGTGGGCTCTCTGCAAGTGCACTGCATTCGCAACTAAATGGATAAGCACATTATCAAATTCATAAATCATACACCATTTTAGCATGATTAAAATACAAACTGAGTATCTGAAAAAAAATCTGTTTTTAGTATCATAGAAATGAAAGCTTTAGCTTAAGTTCTGTCAGGAAGACTCAATCAGCGTGTCATGTATTACCTCACTCCTATCCAATCAGGTGTTAACAGTCACAGTATATAAGATTGGTACTTACACTTGTCTGAATCCGCAGATGCTGTCACTGCCATTCACCTCCATCCTCCTCCACCACCAAGATGGTACCTTCCCCTCCACCCTCCCCATCACCACCATCAGGATGGTCCCTTCCTTACCTCCAGGGGGTCGGCTGCGCCCCCACCTTCATCTCAGGCGGGACCAAAGACTGTAAAAATGGACGTAGTATCCGTGACGTCACCCGTAGGTTTCTGAAGAGCGTTTTTGAAGCCTAAAGTGGGCGGGGCGGGCCGTCGCCATCTTGGCAGCAGTGTGTCACCTCTCGTCACTACCGGATAAATAAAAATACGCTGAAGTGACAGCTAATTGAAAAAGTGAAGCCAATGGTTAAAGTTCATGTT